ATACTCCCGTGAAGTGTAAGTCTTAAAAAATATGACTACTGTTCAGTGGTTAGATATTATATTAATTTGTTTCAGCTAAAATCCTTAAAAAATACAACCTCTCAAAACAACACAGGAGCATTGACCGGGTTAAGAGGAATGCAGCAAGCCCAGCTGATATCCTGAGGCTGCACAAGCAGCCCAGTGGCCTTTCCAGACAGGCGGTGCGCGCTGCAGACTACATGGACAATGCCCTGCACCTAATTAAGCGCTCCCTCTCCAAACGCCACAGCCGCTCCATCAACGCCACAGGTCTGCAGTTAAAAAGACTCAGATGTTTACTAATACATCTTTTTTCCTTTTTCACATCCTTATAAAGCTGTTTCTCTGTGTTGCTAATTAGATCTGATCTCTGAGGAGGATCTGGAGGTGATTGCCAGACTGACGGGCTGCTCTGCACAACTCAGAAGGATTTCTTGTGAGAGCGTTCCCAATCTGAACCAGTTTCGTACTGCAAGCAGTGTCTGCAACAATGTGTGAGTCAACTATACTACAACTTATTTTTACAAATGATAATAATAATATAAAACTTTGTAGACCATTGATCCACAAGTGGCTAGAGGTGCTTTGTTGAATAGCCTATGCAATATTGGAAGTATAAAAACGGTGTTGGGAGGAGGGGTATAAAAAAACACTACTGTATCAAGGGAGTCCAATGCTGCATAACTGAGTAAGGGATAAGAGTGCAGTAATGGATAAAAAACTTGGTGGCTGTAGCTATAATCCTTTCAAAGTACATAAAGATACACAGCTGAAATTGTTGGTTTTGAATGTTTCTCACAGTAACAACACACGTTGGGGTGCTTCTAACATCCCATTCCTTCGATGGCTACCTGCTGAATATGAAGATGATATCAGTTCTCCCAAAGGCTGGACCCATGACCAGAGACTCAACAATCACATTCTTCCACTGGTGAATACATAGGAGCATTTTCCTCTGATTTTCATCCTGCATGCACATGACATAAAATAATCATCTTTATTTCCTACTCAGGTGAGAGAAG